TTCCTGGTGTGCTGATGTGACCCCTAAAACTGCATATGAATCATGTCTTTGAGCTGTTGCCAGGTAAAATATTGTTATAGAATTATAACAAAAAGTTTTAGTGCACTGGCTAGGAAAAGTTGAGGTTTTTCTTTTCTTATGGAAATTTGAATATTAATTGGTTTTCTATCAAAAGCAGAACAGCTGAAAACTGATGAATTTTGGCTTAAGCTACTGTCAAAAGAAATTAATATTTTGCTAAATTGTTTCATTTTTAATGTGTCATATTTTATAGGGAGAAGCCTTTAGTCATAAAAGAAAAATTAAATTTTTATATAAAAGTAGCCAAAATGATATTTTTCTATTTAAAAAGTTGATAAAGTAATTTTGGTCAATTTTAACGTTGCCACCTATTTATGATGAAATACTTAGTAAATGCAGTACTGACTTGTTAACTTAAGAAGGGTCTTTTTGCTTAAGAATAGTGTTTCTTGTGCTGTTTCCTTTTAATCCATTTCTTATGTTTTATGAATCCATCCAATATGGCTGGGGTTTTGGTTTTTTTTTTCCCCTAAGACGAGTTTTCAGATGAATGAGGGCACATTAGCATGAATGGGACTTCATCCTTGATGAGATCATAAACTAAAGTGTGGATTAATTCACTTCTTTCTGGTACTTCAATCAAATGTTGCAGTGATAAAAATAACAAAATTGTTATGAAGCTATAAATTTTTTAAATTATGAAGTACGCTAAAATGTGTTTTGAAATAAGATGTGTCTGACGCAAAATGGAAAAAAATTCTGGATCAGCAAAAGCCATATTATTTTTCCTACGGGACTTGAGAAATCTTCAAGTGTTGTTGGTGAACATGAGTAATGCCAGAAGATACTGGGGATTGCCCATACTGCAGAACCATAGACTCACACACAAGGCTGGAAAGGACCCTTGAAGTTCATCTAGTGAACTTTCCTGCTTAAAGAAGGGCTAACTTGGTTATCAAAGAAGTTGTTTCTGGTACTAAACCCAGTGGTCGTGAATTTCAGTAGATCCCTGCTTTCAAGAAGAAAAAGTTTCCTGCTCATAAAAAAGTTTTCCGTAAAATCCATTGGTCTAACTTTTGCCTGGATTGACCCACTGCCCTGACATGCTTAAGTAGAAAAGTCCTTTTTTGGGTCCAAAAGGTTCAGTGTTTAATCAATCTTGTAAACCACGAAGAAGTGAATTTACTCAGGGTTGGTTTTTGTTTGTTTGTTTTACCATTGCATTGTTGGAGTTGATGTGATTATGTACAGATGTGTACTCCAAAGCAAATGGGATATATTTTACATACCAAAGATACATGCAAAGATATAAAGCAAAATTCAGTGGCTGTGGAAGTGTGTCTATCAAGTAAAAAAAGCTATTCTTCCTTTTTCACTGATGTATTAGATTAACACTGGTCAAGCAGATGGGACTCCTGGACTTGACCTTAATGTAGCTGAAGCATGGGAGCTGGGATACACGGGGAAGGGAGTTACCATAGGAATTATGGATGATGGTAAGTGAAGACTGCATGGTAATTAATTTAAGTAGCTTTTTCCATGTAATCAAAGTAAAAAAAAGATTAAAAAGTAATAATGGATTGCTTATAGTGGTGAGACTACCAGCCTCCATAAAGACTTCAAGATCTTCAGGGAAAATATGTTACAAAGACTTCACTAGGGATACTGAAGCATGGATATCCAAGCATTAAAATAGTTTGCAATTATCGCTCAGGTATCTTCCAGGGCACTCTGTAACGGCCATTAAGCCAAAGGAAACACTCCCCATGACTTCTGTAGGCACTGACTGGGGGATGTAATTGCTGTGCAAAAAGTACTTCAAAAAATGTTTTCTGGGTTACATTATTCTCAAAGTCATACTTGACAGCTGAAATAATTAAACACTTTCATGCTGAATGTCAATAAAGACCTGCATATTAAATATATTGCTAATTTGAGGCTAAGTTCAGGGAAGACGAAGATAAAAGGTGCAGTTGAAGTCGCAGCTGTTCTACTCATGGGTTCCTTGCTGAAGCACAGAAATTCTGTGCAGTCTCTCAACACTTTTCTTTGGGCTAAATTTTGAATGTTTTCCTTTTATGGTGACTGAATAATATTAAAAATAAGTAAATAAAATGTCTGGATCCACATATGTTTTCTAGGGTCAACTGAGATCTGTCCTCACTTACTTCTCTTCCTCATCTGCTTACTCCTAAGACAAGGTTTTTGTGGAAGTAAGAAAGTAGACTCAGACATCTGTATGTTGATGAGAGATCAGTCTCATGTGAGAGATGGTCTCTTATGTGATGTCATGAGAAATCACAATTTCACTGATCCCACAGAGGCAGAACTTTCAGAATAGCTAGGCATGACTGTGTTGGGGATGATGACAAACTATTTTGAGCTTCAGGTGAAATAAAGCTGTTGGCTCATCAGATACAGCTTTTCGAGAAGGGAATGATTTGTTTTATATTCACTTCCAGTAACTCTGGAAGAGAGCACCTGAATAACATGATTCTTCATTGAGACTTTTGTTGTCCATCTACCATTTCGATCAGTAAGGCCCTCCACAGATACAAGGGTCTCTTCATGCATATCTAGTGCTAAGGACCCTACGTAATGGGAGGTAATCATTTAATGAGAATAACCGCGGTAATACGTCATTCTCCTTGCAGATAAAATTGGGCATGTAATAGTGTGGTAGTTGGAGACAGGGGGCAGAGTAACAATCAAAATGTAACATAAGATTGGTGGCTGTTTCTTTGCATGTTTTAACTGGATATGTAATAGGTCAGCTTATCCCATTTGAGTGTAGATCTGCTGCTTCTGTTAAACCATTCCACTGGGATTGTATAGGTAGAAAGATACCATGCATTAGAATAAGTATATTCTGCATCACTGCCCTGTTACAATCTTTAGCACACTAGCAAGGTGTGGAGCCTATGCTCAGGCATTTGCTATAATGGTCTAATCCAACATTAAAAGTTCTCTTTCATACACATAATTCAAAATGTTTGCCTTAGTGATCTCCCCAAGTCTAGTTTAGGTAATTTTCTGTCTACTTAGTTTACAATTTTCAGTGGTTAAAAATACTCCTTTTTATATCCTGTACTGACCCAGTGCTTACTGATCTTGTTAGTTTTGGTATGCTTTGAGATGATAGAACTTGTATAAAGATAAATCGTGATTTAAACTGATCTTAGTAAGTAAATATGATCTAGTCTACAAACCAGGTCAATAAATTTTGTCACTGAGCTCACCTTTTCAATTGGCACCTGAATTTCAACATAAATGATCAAAAACTTCTAGCTGGGACTGCATCAGAAATGGTAAACCAGTTTAAAAGTCCACATTTAAAAACTGGAATCTCACTTCAATCAGTTGCATTATTTGTCATGATCATTTTCCTCTGGTTGCAAAGGAATCTTATTCTGTGATCATTAGAAAATCTTTTTTGAAACTCTTAACCTTTGGTTTCTCTTCTGTCATTATTTTATTGCAGGAATTGATTATCTGCATCCTGATCTTGCATCAAATTACGTAAGTGCATGTTGACCTTTTCTGTACAATGTGGATTTTCTTATTGTTATAGTCCCTCTGCTACAAAATTTTAAATAATGAGTGCAAAAACAGTACGGGTGAACTGCTGATCTTAGAGATGATACATTTCACATTGAAAGAAGCAGAGTGAAAATGGGACTGCCTGTGCAAGGAATGGAAAGGTGACAAGGCTCCTTGTGTAGGAATGACAGTGCTACCTCACGTTAAATAAGCTGCAGCTTGCAATATTGGATTTAGGACAGAAATGAGTAACCTGGGAATTGGCTCTAAATCCTGCTATTAAGATGCAGAATGCACCTGTCACTTGGAGGGCCACGGAGCCGTGGGCTGTGGCAAGGCATGTATTAGCCTTTGAAACCTCCAGGAACAGCTTAATGCCTTTATAACAGATTATTTGATCCAGTGCTTCAAAACATGTGCAGGGCAGATTGTGTGTTCTCAGCGCACGCTGTGTCAATTGATTGTTCCTCAAACCTACCTCAGGCTTCAGACCTTCGGACTAGAGGATTTTTATCTTTCTTAATTCTTCCAGGCTCTCCCCAACCCGTTGACACTAGCACTCCTATCTCCAGGCGTCTACAAGGGCTCCCAGCGCCCATGGACTGTAGGTTGCCTTTGTGGTACACTGCTCTCACACTGTGCGTGCGGCAGTGCGTTGGGTAACGGGTGTCAAGAAGCTGTGCCTCCTTACTGGGGGGGTTGCGGTGTCTCTGCTTTAGGTCTTGCTCTTCTCCTGCAGTCGGTGGCTTCCTCAGGGAAGCCCGGGCTTCTTCAGCTGAGCAATGTGGTTTCGATTGCAATCGCAATTAAATGAAAAGAACAAAAGACAAATGGAAATTTTGGTAAAAACATGAGCCATTCAGATAGAACAGCTCCAAAATGAGAAAGAATAAGACAATTATTGTTACATACTTGCAGTTTGGAAAATAATAACACACAGGATGAAAATCTGTTTGTTGTTGCAAGTAGCAAAGCACATTTAGTAGAGAGTAAATGGGTATAGAAGGTGTTTACTTTGGACAAGGAATTTGGGAAATAGCTGACCACAGGGGTAAAGTGCAGGATAGCCAGTTTCACTCCTTATGAGCTGGCTTAATAACTTGATAGCAGCTAATTAATCCCTGTGCCCTGACTGCAAAGTTCTCTCCCAAGAGGAACAACTCAGTAGGATGTTTCCATAAATTGATAGAAATAAAGACGTTTGTAAAAGGCAGCCTTTTTCTTTGCAGGAATTGTGCTCCGTTTGTATGTTCTAGCATATGATCTGGGCAAAGGATGCGCTCTTTACCCACTTTTCAGCAGCAGGCATGGACAAAGTATGTGGCAATATTCTGATTCTAAAAATCATGTTTCAAGTAAACAAGCAAAAAGTCTGTACACCATATCTGTCATAATGTCAAATAGGAACAGTTCTGTTGTTAACAGTGAACCTAGGATCATGCCCAGAAACAAAAAATAGATTTCTCAGTAATACAGTGTTTTCTCTTTTAATTCTAAAAATATTTTATGTTTGATGGATAAATATTTGTCAGGCTTAGCAGAAATGTATTGTGTTTAGAGTGACAATAGCGAGTACTCTGGAAATTAATGGAAAATGACACAGAGAATGACAGTGCACAGACATGATGCTAGAAATCAGAAAATAGTGGAGCTGGAGAGAAATCTGAGAGTTCAGAAAAGAAATTTTGGGATGAAAATTGGAGAAGAAAAGCTGTCTGGATATGGGGACAACAAACCTTTAATGGCAGTTATGAAAGACTTGTGAGGAGACTGATCTTGAGATGAGAATCTGGAAAAGTTTGTGTAGGAATTACTTTGTCCAAGCAAGGAGTGGTCCGGTAGTGGAGCAGTGATCAGGCTGTGGAGGGACAGAAGATTGTTTGGTCAATGCAAAATGCAGAATTAGGCAAGGCTTGTGCAGGGCAGATCAATAGCCAGACACAGGAGAGAAAAGACTGAGGAACAAGTGATTGGCAAAACAGTCATGAAAGGAGCAGCAGAAACCCCATCTGAAAGATCACAGTCTTAAAGGAGATACCACCCCAATGCTTTTCATACAGAAATACAAAAATATGAGCTATCACATGAAATCTGTGGTTCTAGGCTGTCACAGCATGGGGGGAAAAAAGGCAAAAAAAAAAAAAAAAAAAAAAAAAAACTTTGGTGGGAAAACTCAATTTTTTTTTCCAAGGTTGTCTTCTT